TATATATATATATAAGATATCTCCAGGATTAAATGTGCAGGTAAACTTCTTTACAATGACACATGGGGGAGCTTCACTTGTCTGGCTCACCCAAGATTAAAGTGGCAGATGATGTAATATAAGTTTCACATCCCTGATATAAAGGAAGTCACCGATTCTCTCAGCCTCATCTACTCAAACAAGTCAGACTGGGTGGCAAAAGCACAGTGCCATTTAAGTTTAAGCTTAAAAACAATCAGTAAAATTTTAAAATCACTCAAACAGGAAGCTGATTTAGCAAAGCCAGGATTGGCGGGTGATTGTGATGCTTTGTGCTAAAACCAATAGGAAGCCACCTTATTTCTGTAACCAAGCCCAAGAAAGTATCAGGTAAACAGAGGGCAGATACATGCTGCTGTCTCTGTTTACTGCTGGGATTTAAGGACTAGTTACTCATCGTATTAACACTTTAAAGAGCGTTTAAGAGAAAGAACAGCAAAATGAATTTCGAGGTGGGAAAAATACTGAAAAATTAGTATGAAAATATCATCTTGATCTCAAACGGCATCACGATTCGTCTCTGTAAAACAGTGGTCCCTCGTTTATCGCGGTAGTTACGTTCTAAAAATAACCCGCGATACGTGAAATCTGCGAGGTAGCCAACTTTATTTTTTACAATTATTATAGATGTTTTAAGGGTGTAAACCCCTCACTAAACACTTTATACACTTTTCTCAGACAGGCACGAACATTTTCACACTTTTCTCTCTTGTTTAAACACTCAAAGTTCAAACCTTTGCAGAAAAACAAAACACATTTTGGCAACATTAATTGGAAGATGTAGAACAGGAAATTCTCATAGTTTTGAAGACTGAGTTTAAGAAGCCTGTTGAGGATGTCAGCAAATGATTTGAGGGTACACAGTAAAAAAAAAAAAAAAAAAAAAAAACATCAAGCACAATTATTTAACCTTTATTGAGTCGACTGTTACCTTTTTTACTTTTTGTTATTAGTTAGAACTAAAGACGTAAAATTGATGCAAGATCCTCACCTTATATCATATATCATCTAATATCATACACTCTGGATGAACTACACATGCAGTGGTGCATTCTGTTTTTAATATATTTTTGGCCTTTTAAGCCTTTACTTTGATAGGACAATGGAGAGGAGACAGATCAGAGGGAAGTAAACCCTTTGATAACTGTTCCTCGTTACTTCTCCCTCAATAAGTAATTTAACTTTAAGGTCATCCAATGGAGGCATTTGTGAGCCCAGAAATTCATTACATTTGTGTGTCATAGAAATGCTTTTTCCCAGGAAATGGTGTGGCATGGTTGTTTGTTTTTGTTTTCTTAACATTATAGACTTAGATTTTATTGTGAATGTCCATTCCTGAAGTATTTGCCGATTGAGAACCAGAACAGACCAGCAGGCCGTAGACAAACGCGCTGTTTTCAGGGGTAGTTGGACAGTTTGTAGCACAGTTTTCTCACTGGTGATGATCTTTGTTTGCACTTCTAAACTACCAAGTATGGCATAAAGAGCAGGTGTAAATGTGGTGCCATAACGCCTTTAAACCGAAATGTGACTAAAAACCATAATTAATGACATAAGAGCATTTTATAATATCTCTCATAGATAAAGGAAGCAGGAGCACTGATAAAGTTTTCCACTTTATCGTGTTTTTGTTTTTAGAATACCATGGCTGTGTAAGAGTTAAACATCCTTCTGGATCGCCTTGGTGTTGCCTTGATGCGAGCGCTGTCCGCACATTTTAAAATGTTTAATTGGGCTTTTGTGTATAACACTTCATAAATAAATTTGCCTCAATTTGTCTTGACATAAGGTTTTTAAGTGGCTGGTGGAAGCTGACAGACTAATAGACAAAACAAAGTGAGAACAGACTAATTGCTGACATTGTTTTTGAAAGTCAATAATCTGAAGCTAAACTAACAACTCCCCGTCTACACGCCGTTTCCCACCCACACCCGTCTCTATTAGCCCTCCTCGCACTGCACACGCTGCTTGACTATCTCCCCCTGTTTCAAGCAGTGGAACATGTTTGCTCTAATTGTCGACTTTATTACACGTTTCGCCGTCTTATTAACGTTGCTGCGACGTCAATCTTAGCCCGAGTCGGTTTCTTTTCCACTCGGCTTGGCATATTTGGGGGGCTTGGTAATAAAGCATTTCTGCATGCTGTTTTTGATAGCGGGAGAAGCGAGCGTGTGCCTTTCTAACACATGTTCGCTTTGAAAACAATAGCGTTTTTTTGCATTTTGCATAATCTGAATATATTTTCTGGCTCGAGGTTTTGCTGAAAGTCAAGTTAATTGCCTCCTTTTTGTCTCTCTCATGAGTGAGGGAGTGAATGAATGAGTGTGTGCGCCTCTGTATGTGTGTGTGTGTGTATTTTCAGAGGGCTTCATGCAAACAAATCACAATGTAGCTAACATATCAACTTCTACCAGATTTATCTCATGGCCTGTCAGTTGGTGTGTTCACTTACAGTGCTGTAGTTTTGTGTGCATGTGTGTTTTTGGTCACAATAATCACAGAGCCGCTCTGAAATCTTGAAACGACTGCCTAATAAAAGGTTGAGAGCATATCTAAGTGACTGGTAGAGTCTGACAGAATAATAGACGAGATTTGAAGAGGCAGCAGACTAATTGCTGCCATTGCCTGTAATTTAAAATTAAACAATCAGCTCTGTTTCTATGTGTGCTTTTGGTTTGTTTTAGCTTTTGTGCACCAGCTGTTATTGCAGTCTGAACTCTCTTTGTGCGTCTCTTTGAGCCGCATGTGTTTGTCAGTTGGGTTATCCATCTCTCCACATGTCTTGCCTTGTAAATAAAATCATCAGCTCACTAGGCTATGATTGCATTTCTTTCCTTTCTTTCCGGTTAGCTTTATTAATTGCATGATTTGTGTGTTGAAGCAGTTTTGACCGAAAATATGTCCCTTTGTTTACCTTGTTTGGCGATGCCATGAACTGCAAATTAAGAAATAGAAACAACCGTTGATGGTCTTTGTCTTCCTGAATCAGTAGGCAATACTTGACCAAGCTAAACGCTGACTTTCCCGGTGTCTGACAGAATAATGCAGAGGAGTTGAGAGCTGAGAGGCTGCGCAGAGCCACGGAGAGGTTGCGAAACCCAGTTGTCTTCAACAAGGACTCTGCAGTCAGGAAAACACAGCTCAAGTCCTTCAGCCAGTATGTGGAGAGCAGACCAGGTGGGGGAACGTTACAGCACAAGCACACAAACACAATGTATGCACTGTTTACCCAAGGAGGTATGTTTGCATACGGAGACACTTGATTCACACACAGCAATTAACTGTTGAGGACGTCCACAGACATTTTGAGGAGCAGTAACTCGACTCCTCAAAAGACTACAAGGATTCACTTGTTCAGAGTAACGTTCGAAAGCAGGCTTGTTTATAGCTGTGGGGGTTTCTCAGTAACTATAAGATATTTTGATGCATAATGTAACTGAGTCATCTGTAAAATGTTAGAAAATATCTTATAAAGAAAGTATAGAAAGAAAGAAAGTATAAAGAAAGTAAGATGACTACTATATACAATATAATATGTAATACAGATAATACTTAATTCAGCTCAAATGACTGACTAAGAGGAAGATTTGAGGCTTTTCTAAGCAGGTTACGTACACCTGTCATGATGTGTTCACACCAATCATGAAGATCCATGTAGCTGTGTTGTTGTTTTTTTTGTAAACCCACAAATACTGGATCACTGGATTATTTTGACCAGTGACTCATGTAAAGCTAAAAATATAAAGACTGAAATGACATTAGGTGGATTTCTCACCTGTTAGTGTATGTAACTTCATTGTTCCAGAGATGAAAAGACAGAAGTCTGTTCCTGAGGATCAGAAGAAGGCTGAGGAGGACAGAGGTTCACCCATAGAGGTTGATGTTCGCAGACCGTTTGAAGAGGAGGTTTGTTCATATTTTCTGTAGTGTATACAGTTTTGTCCTATTTGCAACAACAAACTAGTGTGTGAGTGTGATAGTAGCACAGGTCTTTCTCCAGAAAAGAAAGACCTTGGGGGTCAGATGTGAAGTGGTTGATTGCCCCCCCCCCCCACCCCCACCCCCCATTTCCTGTATGTCACCTTACTAGTTTAAGTTGCCTCCCCACTTTAACCTTGTCCACTCCTATACCCTCACACACACACTACTGTCGTCTCTTTAACTCACACACATCTAAGTATTGATTTATTAGGCTGCCATTTTAATTATAACAATGGTAGATATCAGCTCTGTCTTTGCACAGAAGTGTGCCTTCACGTCCTTCAAGTGTTCGCACACATTTCACACTGTATTCCAGGCAGTGTGCACAAAGAATGTGTTTATAAGAATGTTATTATGTGTGTGCGTATGTGTGTGCGTGCCACCAGAGACCACGGGGTGAATCTCTTCCCAAGCAGCCCTCTCCTACCCTCGACCCTGCACCCTCCACCCCAGTCCCATCCACATAGACACACAAACGCACACACAGCACCCTCCTCCCAGCGCCTGGGCCCCAGGGTTAATGGGTGTTCAACCTTTCCATTATCCCGATCAGCCAAGAATTACCTGCTGAATGATGTTTGCATTAATATAATATATATGGTAATTTCCCTCCTCTTAATTACGGCTGGGCCGAGCGCGGCAAGGGGAGTGGGCTGATCATGTGTAAAATTGATTTGCCAAGGAAAAATATGGTGATAGAGCGAGAGCGCGCACAGAAGAGGAGGGGGGAAAGGCTGTTGGGAATCAGCACACACACACACACACTTGCACAATCACACGTGTGCAGAGCCGCACAGATGCACACACTCACATGCTGGAAGGAGTACAGGAAAAAGTGCTGGCCTGGGTGGAATGGAAAAAAGAAAAAAACTTTCTCTCCTGCTCTCTAGTTCTACTTCCCATTAAGAAAAATGAAGTGCATCAGCAGTAAAATAGAGATATTTTTTCGGATGCATCCTCAGTAGTGAATTTGAATAAACATTTTTTCCTCACTCAGAGGAGTTTCTCTGAAGAATAGCAAACAGCCTGGAGACAGAGGTGAAGAGAGGTCAGAAATGGAGTGTGTATTAAGTGTCTGGTTATAGAGCGAGGTGTGTGTGTAGAGTGGCTGATGTTGCTCTGTGTATTAGAAGTCGTGAGCTTGAAGAAAGCTGAATCGAAAAAATAATCATCTTAACCAGTTTATTTACTGTGGAGTAAATAAACTGGATACGCAGACATCCTAAAGCAAAAGTACATTGACTTCAAAGTGCTGAAGGCTAAATGGTGGTTTTAATGACTTGCACAGTTTTGGAAGTTTAACAAAGCCTCTGCCCCCCACTGATGCTCATAGGATAACTCAGGATAACTACTTAATCTTGTTTATGAAAATAACTGAGCTCATCGTACATTACACCAGGCTTACACACTTATATCGTCCAGTATTTAAATTCAAATCAATAACATAACAAACAGTTATTAGGAAAAGCTCAGTGTTTAGTTTAGTGTTAAAATAACCAATGATACAGTGATAGAATCTTTGATCACAGTACTATAATCTGGATTTTGGAGATTTTCTCTTAACGTGTGGTTAATGAGCATTTAGTGTGAGCAAAACATAAATACATAACATATCTTCAGAACTTTTGTGAACTGGAGCCTATCCCAGTCATTGGGCTGAAGCAGGGTACAGCCTGAGCAGGTTGCCAGTCTGTCACAGGGCTAAGGCATACAGTTCTTCGTGCTCACAGTCCACCTCACCCTATGGCCATTTTAGAATCCGCAGTTAGCCTAACATCCATGTCTGTGGTCTGTGGGAGGAAGCTAGAGTACCTGGAAAGAACCCACACAGACACAAGGAGAACATGCAACCTCCACACAGAAAGGCCTTAGCCAGCTGGTAGAGTGGAGCTCTGTTGCTGTGATGCAGTAGTGTTAACTATCTACAGATTAATGCCTGCTACTGATTTTGGGAAAGCCCCATCTTGTTTGCAAATCTGCTGATGTCAACAGGGCCAACACTGGCTGATAAATTGTTGCATGAAAAGCGAACAGAATACTGGCACTCTTTAAGAAGTGAGCAAGACGTTTAGTGATGAGTGCGTGCCTGTTTTCTGTTTCCTTGTTTAACTCTTCATTGACATTGTTAAGATGAGTGTTGTTAAAATGTAGCTTATCAGGTTCC